GCCGAGCCGGGAGTCGGGCCGAAGGGGCCCCGGGAGGCCCCGCCTGGCGAGGGTGCTGAGCGCCCGGCCCTGGACCCTAGGAATCAGGCCACCACCACAGGCTTGGGAATCACGTTTATTGAAAAAGTACAAAGTGTCACAATAAAAAATCCACCTAGAGGGCTGGGACGCCACTGCGTGACAGCGCACTTGCCTACCACGTGTGCGGATCTGCTTTGAGCCCCAGCACCACAAAAAAATTTCACCTGGTGATTAAGCCAAGCCAGAGACATGGGTGTAGGGGACAGGGGTCTCGCCTGAGGACCAGTCCTGGCCAGCCCAGTGGCAGCCCTGAGCCACAAATGAAGAATGCCCTGTTCCCTGGAACAGGGTGCAGGCCCCTTCTCCAGGAGGCAGGAGCCCTGGAGTGCAGCTCCAACTCAGTCCATCCTGGTTCCTTTGAAGAGCTCCACCAGGTCCTTAAAGTCCGGGTCAATGAGGTCAGAGGGCAGGTCCCCATCGTCATTGGCTGCATCTGTGTCTGCCCCCAGAGAGATGAGGTACCTGGATGCAGAGGGCAGCCCTGGTTGAAGCATGCTTGTCCCCACCCCAGCACGCAGGCATAGAGCCCGGGGTCACCTGTTTGTTTTTCCACCCAGGGTGAGGAGGAAACCTGACCCTTTGTAAGCTGCGGCCAGCTTTCCAGTTTGTTATGGGCCAACACAGGATAGAAACAGGGTGCCAGGGGACAACCCTGAGGGTTCATGCCTGCACCATCAGAGCTGTCTTTTGGGGACCCACCTCCTGGGGACCAGTGGATGCCTGGAGAGGTTGGGCCAGGACCTTTCTGCACCAGGTCCCACTCTCTCACCTGGCGATGTCAGGGTACCCATCACTGCAGGCCATGTGCAGAGGTGTCCACCCCGTCTCGTCACGCTGGTGAATGTCAGCCCCATATTTGACCAGCAACTTTACACACTCCAGGTTTCCAGAGAGCACTGCTTCATGCAGAGCAGCTAGACCTGTGCAGGTGGGAGGGCAGGGGTCAAGGCTAGAGTCCTCCACATTGGCCTTCCCCAGTATACCCACAGGTCCATGGCCAGTCCCTCTGGGAATCACTCACCTGAGGGGTGGATGGTGTCCAGGGAGACTTTCCGAGCCCGGATAAAACGCCCTACCTGCTCCAGGTCACCCTGGCGGATGTGGTCCAAGAAGAGGACGTCATTAGGGAAACGCACACTTCGGTCAGCCAGCATTCGCCGGCGCCGCTGCCGGGGGCTGTAGCGGGCATATCGTACTGTTCTGCTGGGCATCCTGGGGGCTGGGGTGGGCTGCCCCCTGGGGACCCGACTGCACTGGGGTGAGGAGTGTTCCAGCCAGACCAGGTCAGCGTGCAGGTTCTTCTGATGAGACTTTGCTTCCGGCTTATATAGTGTCTGCGGAGCTATATAAAGCTGCGTGGTCATGCCTGTGGACGAGAAGGCTGAAACCGAGCTGCCCCCTCCCTGCGCACCGGATCATGTTTGGTGGCTCATCTTTCAGCCCACCTGTCGTTGTGTCCGGCCAAAGGGGTCAGATCCTTCCTGGCCACCGCTCCCTGCCCCACAGCTGGACCTAGAAGGTGCTTTAACAGAGGGCAGGAGAAGGACAGGGCCCATGAAGAAGGCCTCAGGTGTGGGCTCAAGGGCAAGGTAGGTGCCAAGGTTGTAAGGAGGCCCAAGCACCTGGGGATGAGTGGCCTCTGCCTCCTGGAGAGGGAGGGCCTCCCCACATCCGAGGAGCACTGGTCTGTCTGCTGTGGGGGAGGCCAGGCCTAGCCATCTCCACCTGTCACTTCCTCATCAGCTTCTGGTGCTGTGGTTTCCTGGGAGCTGCCTTGATGGCTCTGTCCACATGGACCTGCTCCCCAGGCTGGGCGCTCCAAGACCAGGATCCTGCCTGCCATACCTTCTCTGGGTTCTGAAATGCTGCCAGAAACTGTTCACATTGAAGGTGGTGTCCAGTCTGTGTCCCTAGTGAAGGGACTATGTGGGGTGGTGTGACCCTCAGCCCAGCCCTGGCAGGCTGTCAGTACCTCGCGTTTTGTTTTGTTTTGTTTTGTTTTGATGGCTGTGCTGGGGCTTGAACCTAGGGTGCTTTACCATTGAGCCTTTTTTTTTTTTTTTTTTTTTTTTTAAGACAAGATCTCACTAAGCTGCCAAGACTAGTCTTGAACTTTTGATCCTCCTGCCTCATCCTCCTGAGTGGTTGGGGTTACAGGCCCGGACCACCGCACCTGGCTAAATCTCCTTCTCACAGGGCCAGCAGCCATAATGGACTTATGGCCACCTTACTCCAGTATGACCTCATCTTAACCAATTACAGGAACAGTGACCCTGTTTCTAGATAAGTTCACATTCTAGCTGGGCATGGTGGCAAACGCCTGTCACCCCAGGGACTCAGGAGGCCAAGCAGGAGGATGCAAGCTCAAGGTCAGTTTGGGCAACTTAGCAAGACCCTGACTCAAACCAACAAAAAACCATATCAAAGCACAGTTGGGGATATAGCTTAGCAGCAGAGTTCTCCTGAGTTCAATCTTAAATACTGCCCCTCTCCCCCCAAAAAAGTCTCATTCCAAGGTACTGGGGGATAGGACATGAGTCGGAGATGAAGCTCAACATCCCACTGGTGAGATGCTCCAGGTGGCCCCTGGAGGCCTAAATAACAGGACTGAGACTGGCCAGCCCTGCAGGCAGGGAGGAGAGGCAGTGCTCCATCATTAGCTGGGCCCCAGCCAACAGAGTCCAGTCAACAGGTGTGTCGGACCCCCTCAAGGTGCAAAGCTTGAGCCACAGGCTGCAGACCACCCTGCCTGGAAGCATCTCTCTGCCTCAGTGTCCACTGGGCCTCACACAGGGCTGCAGACTCTGCACCCCACACACAGCCTGTCTAGGCCCGACCTGCGGGGACCTTGCTGGGTGGTGCCTGGGTCCTGCATTTTCAGGGACTCTGGGAGTGCTGGGCAGTCGTGACTCCTGGCCACTTGGGAAGAATCAGTACGGTTTCTTCTCCCTTGTTTACAGGAAGCCAGGAGACTAAACATTCTGCCCTGTGGCCAGCTGGCGGCAGCTCTGCTGCGGACATGGCTTTTCTCTTGTTGGGCAAGGACCTGGGTTCCATCCCTAACAGAGAAAGAAAGGTGGGGGAGGGGAGAGAAAGCTAGGAGACAGTGAGGTGAAAATGCCTCCGTCCAGCGCTGACCAGGGCCCCAAAATGGCCCTTTCCAGCAGGCTTTGGGCCTCAAGCTGGACAGGACTGAGCTGAATGGGTCAGATGAGCCTGTTTGGCAGCCCCAAGTCGGACCCCAAGTGGCTCATCCTGCAACCAGTGCCCTGAAGGCTTCTGTGTGGATCAGAGAAGGGACTGGTCCCCAAGGCCTGTCCGCCACCACAGGTTCCCTAGAGGAATGGATGTGCTTTTGTTGTAGTTGCATCCTGAGTCCCAGAGGCTGCCTGGAGCACCTCAGCAGGAGAGGACCCTCTGCTATCATGGGTGAAATGAAAAGCTTTGTCCCTAATTTGTCTCAGTTGGTATGAACTTGTGATAAAAGTGACCTGGTCTGCATGATTTTAAGTTTCCATTTTTTCAACGACAAATTAAAACATTTATGCAAAAAGGTTACCATCTGCCAAGTGCGGCAGGGCACACCTATGATCCCAGTGACTGGGGAGGCGTAGGCAGAAGGACCACAAGTTCAAAGCCAGTCTCAGGAACTTACTGAGTCCCTGAGCAACTTAGCAAGACCCTGCCTCAAAATAAAAGGGGGCTGGGGATACAGCTCAGTTGGTAGG